CATATATGTATTATGTAAGATCTGTTATATATATACATATGCAAAATATGTACATGTGTTATACAAAATTGGAATCATACTGCATATACTTTTTAGTATATAGTAAAATTTTTCCTTAAAACATTGAAATGCTGCATAGGATTTTACAATATAGATGTAAATTATAAGCTAATTTAGCCATTCTCTGTGCTAGACATGTAGGTTTTTTCAAATTTCTGCTACCATACACAAGATAGATAAATATTCATCTACATTTTTGTGCACAACTCTTATTATTTACTTAGGACAATTTCCTAGAAGTACAACTTAGGGGACAAAAAATAAGAAGGTTTTCAGATACATATTGCCAAATTACTTTCCAGTAAGTTTAAACCAGTCTACACTTTTACAAGCAGTACATGAGCATTCCCATTTGCTACATCTCATCAATGCTAGTTAAAATTTATTAATATTTTAATTATATGCAATCCTTACTAAGAATAGGGTATTATAAGCTTAAATAATAAGAAAAGGATTGTTATAACAAGATAGTAATGAACGTTCAGCATACATAGGGACAACTTGAGATAGCGATGACTGAAAAAGGGAGGATTCAAGATTCAAATTCTCAAAAGAGAATGGCACGCACAGAAGAAAATGGACATCTGTAGATATATAATTATCCTTTACATATTCGAAATGGTAACCAAACACAGAAGATTTAGAATTGAATTATATAACATAAAACAAGAAGAACCATAGGGAAAACTCACATAATCCAACCAAAATAAAGAAAACAGAAGGACAAGGAAGAAATGGAAACATCAAGCTACCAGAAAGCAAAAGATAAAATGGCTTTAAGAAGGCCTTATATTTCAATAATCACCCTAAATGAAAATGGACTTAACTCACCAATAAAAGGGCACAGAGTTGCAGTTTGGATCAAAAAACAAAACTTAACCATAGGCTGCCTCCAAGAGACACATCTTAGCACCAAAGACAAATATAGGCTCAAAGTGAGAGCGTGGAAAATGATATTTCAAACAAATGGCATTCAGAGAAAAGGGGAGTAGCAGTACTAATATCAGATGAATTAGACTTTAAAATAAAAAAGCTAAAGAAATATTTTGAGGGACACTTTAGAATGATAAAGAGAATCATGAACCAAGAAGACATAACATTTATTAATATCTACGTTCCTAGTCAGGGAATCACAAAATATGAGAGCAATTACTAACAAAACTTAAAGGAGAAACAGACCAAAACACTATCACAGTAGGGGACCTAAATACCCCACTGTCCGATATGGACAGATCATCTAAACAGAAAATCAATAAGGAAATAGCATCCTTAAATGACCCATTAGACCAAAGGACATAATTGACATTTACAGAGCCTTCCATTCTGAAACAGCTGCTTATACATTCTTCTCTAGTGAACAAGGAACATTCTTAAGAATCGACCACATACTAGGACACAGAGATAGCCTCAACAAATATAGGAGGTTTGGAATCATACCAACCATATTCTCTGATAATAATGCTCTGAAACTAGAGATCAACAGCAAAAACAAATCAGGAAGAATCACAAATACATGGAGATTAAACAACATGCTACTGAAAAATAATTGGGTCAGAGAAGAAATAAAAAGAGAGATCAAGAGATACATAGAAACTAATGATAATAATAGGACAACATATCAAAACTTTTGGGACACAACAAAAGCGGTCATAAGAGGAAAGTTCATATCATTACAGGCCTAGCTCTTAAAACGAGAATGAGCCCAAATAAACAACCCAATGCTTCATCTTTAAAAATAGAAAAGGAAGAACAAATGAAGACTAAAGTTAGCAGAAGGAAAGAAATAATCAAAATTAGAGCAGAAATAAACAAAATAATAAAAAAAAAGCAATAGAAAAAAATAAATGTGACAAAAGAGCTGGGTCTTTGAGAAGAGTAATAAAATTGACAAACCCGTGGCTAGACTCACTAAAGAAAAAAGAGAAAGGACACAAACAAAATCAGGGATGAAATTTGAGGAAATTACCACTGATATCGCATAAATACAATGGATCATTCAAGAATACTATGAAAAAGTATATAACACCAAATTTAATAACCTAGATTGAATCAAGAAGAACTAGAAAATCTAAATAAAACAATCAGCAGTATGGAAATTGAAACAATAATCAAAAACCTACCAAAAAGTAAATGTCCAGGACAATATGGCTTCACCATATGCTTTTCAAACTCTTACAAAAAATCGAAGAAGAGGAAATACTTACCAACACTACCCTGGTACTAGAACCTGGTAAAGATAACACAAAAAAGAAAACTACAGACCAATATCTTCTATGAACACAGATGCAAAATCCTAAATAAAGTACTAGCAAATAGAATACAACACTAAAAAGATTATATATACATTATGACCAAGTGGGCTTCATCCTAGGGGCACAGGGATGGTTTAACCTAAGCAAATCGATTAATGTGATACACCACAGAAACAAATTAAAAAATAAGTATCATATGATCATATCAATAGATGCAGAAAAAGCCTTTGATAAGATACAGCATCTATTTATGATCAAAACACTTAACAAAATTGGTATAGAAGGAAAGCACCTTAACATAATAAAGGTCATCTATGACAAACCATCAGCCAACGTTATACTTAATGGTGAAAAAATAAAACCTTCCCTCTAAGATCAGAAACAAGGCAAGGCTGTCCATTATCGCCACTGTTATTCAATATAACATTGGAAGTTCTAGCGAGTGCATTCAGGCAAGAGAAAGATATAAAAGGCATCCAAGTAGTAAATGAAGAAGTCAAACTTTCACTATTTGCTGATGATATGATTCTCAATATAAAAAACCCTAAAAACTCCACATGAACACTACTAGAAAGAATAAGCAAATACAGTAGTCTCTGAAAACAAAATCCATAGTTCAAAAATCCATAGCGTTCCTATACTTTAATAATGAAATGTTAGAAAAAGAAGTGGGAAAATTAATTCTTTTTGCAATTGCAACAAAAGTTATAAAATACTTAGGAATAAATTTAACAAAACATGTGTAATCTGCAGCCCGTGTTGTTGAGTCTGACTTACCTCTGAAAGTTGAGATGAAATTGAGAAACTTTACAGTCCACCCTACCACAATCCTAAATGGAGTTTAATGTTACTTGAGAGTAGCTTACTAGGATAAGGCAGGGGTGCCTAATTCCTTGTTTTGTTTTAAATCAAATGTCAGTCAGATAAAATACATTTGAATGTTACATTGCCTCCAAAGAAACAGAAAACAATTCTCTGACTGAGGTGATTTGAAACAGCATCTGATATGATTTGTTAACAATTCTACTAAGAAATAGATGTTTCAAATCAGTGTGTTCAAACCATTGCAGAAAGTTGTCGTTGCCTTGTCTAAGTCAGTCAAGATATGAATAATAACTGAGAGGCACAGAGTAACTAAAAATATATCTACCACAAGAAGGATACACAATAAAGGTTTAACAGTTTTTTTTTTTTTTTAAAGCCTGTTACTGTCCAGGACAACTTAAAAAAAAAAAAATTCTCTCTTTTGACTCCAAGCAGAATGGAAAGAAGTTTTCAAGTTTGCCCTGTCTTTGGCTGCATGCCACCCAAAAGCATTCATCCATTACTAAACTAAAAGTGACTTCACAGTGCTCAATTCAGCAGCATATATAATTGAAATGATTCAGAGAATATTACCATGGCCTCTGCAAAGGGTGACACGCCGATTCATGAAACATTTCATAATTTTGAAACAGACATTTTCATATATTATGCTATAAGTGAAAATGGTAAAACTCTATAATGGTGAGTCTAGTATTATGTTCCAAAATTGCAGATGTATTTACCCCTTGATCCAGCAATCCCAAGTCTACAAATTTATCATTTAGGAATACTTTCACACATATGAAATGATGTATTTACAAGATTTTTCACCAGGCATTGTTTGTGATTGCAAAGGATTAGAAAAATACAAAAGTCTATCAAGTGAGAACCAATTAAATAAACTTTGTTACATCTATACAATGGACTATAATGCAGACAGAAAAAAATGAGGATGTTCTTTACATATTGATATAGAAAGATATCCAAATATACAATAAAAATACTGCTTCATGGTATAGAACAATGGTATATCTTAGGTTAACTTTTATATAAAAAAGAGGACATGATAATATATATTTATATTTGCTTGTATTTGCATAAAGAAACAAAACAAACTAATAAAATGATTACCTATAGCAGACATAGAAAATTATAGTCAGCAGGTCTGCTGCCTATTTTTATAATAAAGTTTTATTGAAACACAACCATACCATTTGTTTCTGTGTTGTCTATGGCTTCTTTTGCACTACAATGGCAGAATTGAGTAACAACAACAGAGACCACATGGCATGCAAGCCTAAAATATTTATTACTTGGCCTTTTACAGGAAAAGTTTGCCAATTCCTGACCTACAGAGTAGGAGGAATGGATAGGGATAGAGACAGAAGTAAGATTTCTCAATGTACACACTCTTTTATATCGCTTGGTTTTTCAACTTACGAATGGATATATTGCCTTTTTATAAAAATAAAAACAAAATCAATGAAATCTTATTTGCATCTTCTGGGTAAGAAACAGTAATAAACCTAGAGGAGGAATTTGTGTTTCTGCTTGGAGTCGCTGTAGTTATTTCTTAACAAATATTTGTGAAATTAAAAATATTCAATTTACATAATTAATTTTTAAATGAAAAAATTACATTATGGTTATTTCCTATGTTGCACTTTCAAAAATTACCTACATACACAGTAGCCTGAAGTGCTCCTCTTTGACTACTTCATACACATATATGGAGTGTACTAAGCACAAAGCACTTTGCTATGTCGGTGGTAAAAATTATAATTGTTGATATTATGATTAACACTTAATCTAATATATATTGAGTTCTCATTATGTCACATACTGTTTTTGAGCTTTATATATTGTGTCACTTAATCGTCACAACATCCCAAATTTATAACTTCAACCCAGTCTTCTTTACTGAATTTTAGACTCATAAAGCCAACTGCCTACTCAACTTCTCCACTTGGATGTTGAAACTGAGGGTCCTTATGACTTTAAGTTTAACTTTAAATCCTAGCTCTAGAAATTGCCTCTCTCCCCACTCCCTCCCTCTCTCTCTCTGTCTCCCTCTGTCTCTCTCTCCCTCTCTCTCCTTCTCCTTCTCAATAGATAGTTAGATATAGATATGTAGAAATAGATAGATATACAGATAGATAGATATCCTTCAGAGGCCTAGCCTTTCCCCCAAATAATCAACAACCCCTCCAAAACAGAAAAAGACAGTAGTTCAGACCTAATGATCACAAGGTCCAGACCTCTGGCAGGCTAAAGATAACATCTTGACCTAAGTTACGTTTCAACTCCTGAGCCTAAGGTGGAACAACCTCCTGGCTACTTTCCCATGAAACTAGACAAAAGGACACAAACAGACCTCAGAAATGTCCTCAAGATCTAAAGAAATTATTTATTTCCCTTACCTCACCTCTGACCAATCATCTCCCAGCAAGACTGGAAACTCCTAACCCACAGTGTCTTGTGATTTTTTTCCTATATAATCTGTAACCCACATGCCATCAGAGAGTTTGGGCTTTTCAACATTAGCTTCCGTGTTCTCCTGGGTGGCGCAATTCATAATAAAATAGCCAATCTTTCTCTACTGCAATTCTCAGCGTTTAGTATTTGGCTCTAGTTGTGCTGGATGGATGAACTCTTTTTGTTTGATAATGGTATCTAATAGACATCTCAAACTCTATTCCCCCAAAACTAAACTGTGGATCTTTCTCCTCGCACATATACCTGCTCCATCCATAGGCTTCTTCAGCTGGTTAGGTAGCAATTATATCCTACTAGATTCTTAGTGGAAACACTCAGAGTCTTCCTTAACCTGTCTTTTCCTCTCACATGGCATGTCTCAACTATAAAACGACCTATGAAATTACCCATAAAAATTGTCTAGAATCTCACTATTTCTCACCATATCCACTACTACCACCCTGTTCTGATATTCTGGGCCACCATCATCTCTCGGTTTACTATGACAGCATCCTTACTGATTTACTTGTTTCTCCTCTTGTCCCTTTACAATCTATTTCCAACATAGTAGTCATAATTATCTCTTTAAATGTAAGGTTGACTGTGTTACTTCTCTTCTAAGTACCCCACAGTGGCTCTCATTTTCATTCTGAGTAAAAGCCATTGTCCAAGTCTTTATTCATCTGAGGCCTACCCTGATCATCTATCTGAAAGAAAAATTCTATGCTCCTAATTCCCACACCAACCCTACCCATTGACTTACCCTGTTCTATAATTTATGTTTTCATATAATTTTCATCTTTTAACAGTATATCATTTTCCCTATTTATATGTTTTGTTTATCTGTCCATGTAGTAAAAATAAAACTCTCAAATATTTGTTGAATTAATGAACAATTTCTTGGGATGTAGGTATTATTTCTTCCCCCATTGTACAGAAGAGGAAAGAAAGGCTCAGAAAGGTTAACTGTTTTGCCTCATGGTCAGAAAATTAATCAGAGGAAGGGCAGATAATTAAACCCAAGTACTTCAGACTCTAAAACTTAACCACTCAACAACTTCATGCAATTTATAGTATAGTGCCGGTCATACTAACCTGTGTGTATATTGTTCAGGCACAATGGTAGTTGTGAAGCAGGGTCATCTGTTGTCATAGACTTTGAATATAGCTCTCCAGAGAACACAGCAAAAGCAAGTGATGAAATGGTGTCATCTAGGTTGGCAGTTTCTGATATACTCTAACCTGGATGATGGGAAAAAGGAATACTTGAATTAGTTTTACCATCAACCTACATTTTCTTCTTCACTTATTCTGCACAATTGTGTTAATGATTCTTAGGCCAAGTCAAATAAAACATTTCCAACTGCCTGAATTGCAGAGTCATTCCATGAGTAAATTCCATTAAAATTTCATGCCAAGGCATGGTGTGAGTATTTAGGCAATGTCCTTTGGGCAAAAGAGCCCCAGGAAGTAGAAACCTTTGCTAAATGTGAATTAAGACTAAGACTTCAGCATCTCCCTTCAGGTAGGCTCCAACTTCTAATGCAGCCTAAGGGGCAGAGAGTGCACTGAAGGAATTCACAAAGTTTTCACAAAATTACCATGACCTAGTAATTCTGCTCTCTTATAAATGCCTACTGAATGTTTTACTTAGTGAAAGCATTTATAGGATGGTGACACTCAGAATATGCTTATAGTGCAGCTCCTCCTGGGATAGGGGACTGGTGGGCTCTAGGGAATTTGCCCTTTATACTTCCATGTAATTTGCCATTGATTGCTCAATGCCCAGTGGAAGTAACTAGGCCAGAGCCTTTTAAACTAGGTCCTTAGGACTCCTAAGGTGCTTACTAAATTTTGCATGATATTTTATGGGTGAACTTAAGACTACAGATGCTTTTATAAAGTGCTAATATTTTTAAAAATAACTTTTTGTGATTCTTAATTCTGTATCCTGTCTTTACCTCATCTCTCTCTCTATCTAGATAGATAGGTAGATAGATAGATAGATAGATAGATAGATAGATAGATAGAGAGATATATAGAAGAAAAAAACTATCTAGCTATCTCCATTCATCTATTGATGGATGCCTAGATTACTTCCATATCTATTGTGAATAATGCTGCAATGAACATAGCTTTTCAAATTAGTGTTTTCATTTTCTTTAGATAGATAGCCAGAAGTAGAATTGCTGGGTTATATGTCCTGTTTTTGATTTTTTAAGGAATCTCCATACCATTTTCCATAGTGGCTGCATCAATTTACACATGTTGCCTGTAGAGCAAGCGATAGAATATAGTGGCTTAGAAAACTGATCCTAGAACCAGAATACTTGAATTCAAATCCTGACTCAGCCATTTACTATGAATTCTTGGGCTCATTAGTTAACCTCATCAATCTGTTCACTCATTGGTAAAATGGGCTATTTTGAGAATTCAATGGATGTATCTAAAATGTTTAGTACAATACTGACATATAGTACTTCTATTTTTTATATACTCTCAAGTATGAGACAGTACAATGAGAGGAAACATAGTCTTGGAATCGGCAGGCATGGTTCTAGAATCCCAGCTTTATCATAGACCACTGTGCAACTTTAAGTTAGGCAACTTAATTTCTGCCCCCGCCCCACACACACACCAATTTATTTTACCATTGCATGAGAAGATTGAACTAAACAATCTCTAAAGTTTTTTCCAGTTCTAACAATGAATAATGTTCTATGATACTCTTTAATAAGGATCAATCCAGAAAAATGTTATAATACAATAGTTTTTACTTCTAGGCCTAAAATACATTTTACTTCACAAGGAATGCTGTAGAAAGAAAAATAAATAAATTTTATTATAACACACATAA